CCATCCATCCATCCATCCATCCATCCATCCATCCATCCATCCATCCATCCATCCATCTGTGAATGTTGTGAGCACGATAACGTGTTTAACATCGTTTTGGATCAAAATGCTGCTTCCAGAGTTTTCATAGGAGAGATCATATTTCTCCAGTTTTAGTTTCTCTCCATTGGCTCCCTGTCAAATTCAGAATTGAATTCAAAATCTTACTTCTAACCTACAAAGCTCTCAACAACCTAGCTCCATCTTATATTCAAAAAATGTTCAATAGAAAAACGACTGGACTTTATTTGTAACAGAAGACGTTTCTCTCCTCATCCGCTCCATCTTATATTTGAGATCGCATTGTTCCATATTTTCCTAACAGAGCACTTCGCTCTCTGACTGGAGGTTTACTTGTGGTTCCTAGAGTTTCCAAAAGTAGAATGGGAGGCAGATCTTTCAGTTATCAGGCTCCTCTCTTGTGGAACCAACTTTCAGTTTCTGTCCATGTTTCATGTCCAGTTTTCAGACGAGGCTTAAGACTTTCCTTTTTGATAAATCCTATAGTTAGGGTCGGCTTGGGTTTCCTGAGCTGTCCCTTAGTTATGCTGCTATAGGCTTAGACTGCTGGAGGACAAGCTGACCACATTTCCTCTCTCTGCTGCTGTCTTTACCTACTCAACTCTTCCTGTTTTGTATTTGTAATTATTTAAATCTTAACAGATGTTCTTTGTCTTTCCTCCTATAGATAATAAACCTGGACCTGTCATTCTGTGTTTGTTTGTTTCTACTTCCTGTCCTCTCAAACCCGTCCGGTCAAAGCAGATGACCTCTCATCCTGAGCCTGGTTCTGCTGGAGGTTTCTTCCTGTTAAAAGGGAGTTTTTTCTTTCCACTGTCTCCATTGTGCTTGCTCAGGATGGAGACGAAGTGAAGATTCATCACAGTCTGCTGCTTCCTTGGATAGAGAACTTTTACTCATTGACTTTTACAATGTTTCTGTTCCGTGCCATGAGAAGACTTCTGTTGTGACTTGGTGCTATAGAAATAAACGGAAGTAAATTGAAGAATAAGTGAGGTGCTAACTCTCCTTTTTGGTGTGTTACATCTAGGTGTGAGAAAGTTTCCTTTAGAAAATTGGATTGCTTCATCAAAATCCAAGATGTCCACCACCATGTAAACTTCTGTCACTTCAGGAAACTACGGGTTCTAGTTTCTTTGTTGCTTAAAAGTAGTTTCTTCTGATGATTAATCTGTGGTGGCCAAGGCCACCATCGGCTCCAAGTATATTTAAAGTTGTTGTTTTTATTTTTATCATTTTAATTCACCTTTTGTTTTATACAAGCATTTTCAGCTAAACATATTTAGTTTGGTTTATTATGCCCCCGGATACTCGTCTGAACCATTTGTCCCTATAAGAGCAGCTAAATCAAGAACTCTGCTCTGGTCACAAACATCTCAGAAACAAAGAAAACCAACATATAATAGTGTCCGCATGTTCTCTGTTACCAAGAAAAAAAAGTTTGTCACCACTGACTTTGTTGTAATTTTGTAAAAGGTTAATGATATTCTCATGTGAGCAGCAGTAAGACAAGTGTTTTTGCACAAATCATGATTCTCCATAAGCCTTTAGCTGAATAAATAAATGATTGAAACAAAAAGTAATAATTCATTCAACCTTTATTTAACAGGTAAATCCCATTGAGCCTCAAGGACTCATTTACAAGAGAGACCTGATTAAACTCTCATGTCCTGTTCAGCTGCTGATCACAAACCTCTTTCTTTCATGTTTTCCACTTGTTCTGTTTGAATTATCGCTCGCTGCTAAAAGGAAAACGGGCAATCGTGCATGCGAGTGCATGTTCCTATAAATGTCTCATGCACAACTGGATGGATTTGACATGATTCTAGATGGTCATCTCAGATATATGACAACAGAAATCTCCAAAATGTCTACAAAGCAACGACACAATCCGAGTCAGAGTTTCTTTATTTGTCGTTCCACCACATGTGGTACGTGTGGTGGAACGACATTGTGTACACACGGTCCCATTTACATTCAACAAAAGTATTAAAATGTAAAAGAAGATATGAACCAAGAAAAATGTTAACTAAAAATACACTAATAGTATAAAAACAATACGCTGAACAGCAGCACGAACATGAGTCTGTGTGAGCAGATGAGCACGGACGAACACAGAAACATTAAATACTATATTAAATAAATATATATAATACATATATAAATATGTCACGTATATTAAAATCTGGAGATGTTTAGTGAGAACCTCCGTATAAACTGTATCCACATGTCTTTGGAACAAAGTGCCTGAATAAAATTGAATAATTTGTTTGGTCTCTCTTGATCTATGTTAAAAATGAGTTTTACCACCTTAGATTAAAACAAAAGTTTTATTACGTGAAGATTGTTTCTCTCAAAGTGATTTCCTGAGTTGAAAAGTTCTTCTTGTTCTTTCTTCAGACTGACGTGCGCTCAACTCCAGATCAGTGCACAGGAGACAAACAAAAAATCTGCTTCAGTGCTTTATCTCCACAGCAGCCACGCACAAACGACACTGAACGTTGCATAAAAAAATAAAATAAAGAATTTAAATGAACTTGTCTGATAAATTTGTCCAGTTCTTGGTAGACTCTGCAGCTGTTGTGAAAAACGTGGGGTTTGTGTGTCTGTGAGCAGAGAAAGAAAAATGTCTGGCTTGTCTCCAGGAGCTGATATGTGTCCCTTGGCCTTGAACAATAACTGGTGCTGTGTCCCCTTGCTTACTGGTTTTAGTCTCCAGTGAGCTGAAGCAAGACTCAGCCGGTGTCTGTTGTCCACGAACACCACCTCAACACAGAGACACATTGTCCACAGGCTTTTTTAATTAAAGAGCCCTGGTTGGGACTCGGTGCCAGGTGACCTGAGCTGCTGCGAGCCTACATGTGTCCACTGAAATCCACTTCACAGGCTCTAAATCTCAGCGGATAATTGGAGGGAGAAACGCTATCCTGCCATCATGAGACGGAGGAAGGATTATCTTTGACTTCAGAGTCAAGGATGGAGGAATAATGTGATGTTTTCTTCTGTCTGCATTCAATCTGCCTGCCTCCGTCTTGTATCTGCTTTCCCTGTCTGAAGGTTATGAGAGGAGGAGGGGGCGGCTGGAGGACTTTTTTTTGAACGAGTTCCTCTTCTCTGTTGGTGCAGACTCAGTTCTGAGCTGGTGTCCAAGCAGAAGACATGGAGAGAAGACTGCACGCAGCGTTCCTGTTGTTTCTGCCTCTGCTGAGCGTCAGCTGCGTCTCCAACCAAAAAACCACAGGTACACCATCTTCAGACTGTTGGAATCATTGACATTTTTATGAAAAGCTCAGATTAGTGTAGGAGCTGTGCTTTTTTTTTTTTTTTGAATGTATGTGTTTTCATATTTTGATGTGATTGTAATCTAATTTAAGAATATTCTTCTGTTTGTGTAGTCTCCTGGTGCGTTCAGTCAGATGCCGAGGAGCAGAAGTGTTTGGATTTAGCAGGAAATGCCACAGCCAGGAAGGTTAAAGGAACCCTGGTGTGCGTCCGCGGCCTCAACACTCGAGACTGCATGAATAAAATCAAGGTATTATTCCATGTTGAGAAAATAGAAGATTCTTAAAATAAACCACCCCCCTCAAAAATATATCTTATCTTAATGGACAGTTTGTCCAAAGTATCTTAAACTTTTGAAAATTTGAATACAGCTTTTTTTTAATACATGCATCCTTATTAGACTGACTTATTTAATTTAGTCTATAATGTTTTTTATTGTAATTTTTCATGTCCACAAGATTAAAAAATACATTTACGTTAAGGATATTTCAAATTAATTTAATGAAACCAATGTAAGTTTATTCAATTTTAAAAAAACAACAACTAAAAGCACAAGAAAACTACAAACAGGTGGTTTTAAATTCAGTTCAGTTTATTTATAAAGCATCAAGTCGCACCAGAAGTCGTCTCAGGCACTGAACAGAAACATTCACATATAAAATAATAATTGAACATTATTTATCTGAGGAGCAGACTGCTCTGAGTTGAACTCCATCACAGACTCTCATCTTGAGCATGAAGGCGACAGTGGAAAGAAAAACTCCCTCATGAGGAAGAAACCTTTAGTTGGGAAAATTAAACTTAGTAGAAAACAAACGAGTTTAAAAAAGACACATGTTTGTATGATGCCAAAAAGAAAACTTTAGAAACAATAAAACGCGCCACAACGTTTCATTTTAAACACTTTAAAAATGTGAATTTTAACATGTTTTGCTTTTGGAAATTCCTCTTTTTTTCTGAACATATTTTCTAAACTGCATCCATGTTTCTGTTGAACTTGTTCAGTTTTGCAACATTTTGCACATTTCTGTGCGTACATGTCTAATTTGTCCCATCCAAAAGAAACATATATGGTTCTCGTGTCCTAAACATGAACGCGTTCTTGTCAGAATGGGACAGCCGACGCAGCGTCCATGTTGGCTGATGACGTGTACGCAGCAGGTTTCTGCCACGGCCTGGAGCTCGCAGCAGGAGAGTCCCACAACGGAGTAGGCGAGTCTCACGTTCTGCAATCAGATTTAAAGGAGTGCTTTTTCTGTTTGCTTCATGAATGTTGTCCTCCCACCAACCCTGACAGATGGCATCAGCTACTACGTGGTGGCGATGGCCCGTCGCTCTTCTTCGGACTTGTCCCTGCTGGAGATGCACGAGCGCAGCTCCTGTCACCCCGGCATACGGACCACCGTGGGCTGGACCGTCCCCATCGGCTACCTGGTCAACACGTCCCAAGTCAGTGTAGGGGAGCAGTGCAACTTCCCCAAAGGTACACTATTTCATTTATTCATTGATGATGAAACACCAGTTTCATATCTTGTCACATGTTCATCTCCACTGGGAATGGTGTGCTTGGACTTTTGGCACCAGTTGCCTCTCGCTGCTGTTTTCTCTCAAATCTGAGCAGAATGCAGAAGGTGCACACACAAACGTACACACACTTTATTTCAGCTACCGTATAAGACGCAATATCAACGAACGGGTCTGTTTTCATACACAAGGTGCATTAATTGAAACAAAACAGTCAAACTTTATTCAACTCATTCACAATAACCACATAAAATTGGTTCAAGGTCAGTGAGCACAACCAGAATTAAAACATAAGGCTCACTGTCGATTTTTGAGAAAATTAACGGGTTTTACGTGCGACTTATCGTCCGAAAAATATGGTAAGAAAAGAAAGATCTAAAAGTAGAAGCAGAAAGTAACGACTCTGACAGTAACGCACGTGGATTTTTTTGTTTCTATTTCTGCTTCCAGTTCAACATTTTTGAAGCTCTGACTTGTAGTTTTCACACGGACTATTTGAGGCTTACTTTTCAGTCTGTTTCTGTCTCTCTTACAATTAATGTGTACGGTTACCATGGTGACCACAAGGACCCAGTGGCAACTGCTGTAATATTTATTCTGATCCAAGTTCTCCTTACATTTCTTAAACAGTTCATACATCAAAATGTAGGCATTTTAATAGCTTAAATTATCCATCCGTCCGTCCGTCCGTCCATCCATCCATCCATCCATCCATCCGTCCATCCGTCCAAGAATGGATTCTAGTTACAGCATCTTTGCACCTCTGCTTTATTTTCTTGACCCATGCTCTTGTTTTGCCCCCAGCGGTGGGGAACTTCTTTGGTTACAGCTGCGTGCCCGGTGTGAAGGACCCCCAGCACGACCCCAAAGGCAACAACCCAAAGAACCTGTGTGAGGCCTGCATAGGAGACGAGAACGACCGACACATCTGTGCCAACAACCTCAGGGAGAGACACTACGGAGAGGCGGGGGCACTGAGGTACAGCATTTTCACTACAACCATAAAATGTGCCACTCTAAAGGAACACAGTGATTATATTCATTATTATTTATTAATGAACAGCTGATAAGTGAAGTTGTTTCTTAGATTAAAAATATCATGATAGACTGAGACAGAAACTTTTAGCAACCAGTGAAAAACACAGACAAAAACACATGAGGTGAGTAGATAAGTGTATTCTTTATGGAATAATTATGTTTTTAACATCAGTTGTCTTCATTCCTGTGTGTTCTAATGATCGTCTGCGTTGTCGTGCAGAACTTGTGTGAATCAGCAGAGAATCAGCAATTGTGTTTGAAGGGGAGATAAAAGCACTTCAGGCAATTTAACAGTTTGTCAAAGAGTGACTCAAGGTGGCAGTTTTTAATAAACACACTTATTATTTTGATTCCAGGTAACCTGCTACTGAGAGAACCTTTGTCTTCCACCTGCAGCGCTGCTCAGATAAAAACTGATTGACTGCTGGTGTGCTTTTTTCCTCAGGTGTGTGGCTGAAAACCTCGGTGACGTTGCTTTTGTCAAACACACAACGGTCTTCAATAACTTGGATGGTCAGTAATTACATTTTGTGCATGTTGTGATTAAACAAATGGTGATGTGCTTAAAAAACATGCAGTTTTCTGTACAAACACTAGAGGGCAGTGTTCTACAATACTGTGCTTGATCACTTCAATCTAGT